CTATTACCAACATGGTACATAGAATGCTGTTTAATCATTTATGGAGAAGTGGGCACCTGACATAAAAACTTTGGTTTTGTTATTCCAAAAAATTTCCTTGACACCTGGTAGATAAAATGACATGCCACTTGTTTTGCTTAAAATAAGAAAGATTTTTTCAATAACCCTCTCTTCTTTTCAAGTATAGAACTCAGTTTGTGAGTTGATGGAAGAATGTTGTAAACTGCGTTTTAAAGATTAGACGATTGGCAAAAACAAGGGATGAACTTCTTGTATTAAATGGATTATACGGCAAAATGCCCTAGATATGATTCCAAGAACTTTTCAAAGCTAATATAATCAAGAAAAGTTAGGGAAAATAAATGATCGTTAAACTACTGAAAATTTAAATGAACTTTAAATATCCAAATTGGGTTGAAACAGAGCTTTAAAAAGAAATTTAATTGCTGTAAAAGTAAATATAGTTAAAGTAAATAAAACCGAAAACAAGAAAAATTTACTAGTAGCATGAAATAAAAATTAATAAAAATAGAATTGAACATGAAATTAAATGTCAACATCATTTGATTTAATTAAAGGAAACTTAGAAAATAAAAAAGGAAAAGAAGCAATCCGATTACAAAAAAATACTACTAAAGGCAATGAAACAAACAATAAAAAACCAAAAAAAGAAAAACCGAAATAACAAAACAAACCAATGCTGAAGCGTAGAGTTGAAATTAAATTAAAGCGCTTGAAACTAAGATAAATCTGAGCATAAAGAGAAATTATGCTGAGTTTGTTGTGTGAGATGTCGATCCTTTGCTTGATCTCATTACCAGGTATTTATAGCACCTTGGCAGCATAATGGAGATATGCGGCAGCATCCTGAAAAACCAACAACAGTGTGATATTTGCAACAAACCGATTAATTTGTTGGTGTTGCAATTATCTTCCTGGAACCTCGCAATAAGAGAACGGTTTTGCTGCCGTTGTGGAAACATCCACTCAATCTTATCTGAAAAAATTTAAACCAACTTTCAACTAATAAAATATCTATTAATATGGGTTACATGTGGTGATACTCTATTTATTGTAAAATTAGGTGTAAACAGTTTTGAAGTAAACTTACTCGGTTTGAGAGAAATGGAAAAGAGAACGGCAATTGGCTAACATGAAGCATAAACTTTCCTTTATTTTATCCTTTTTGGGAATCAGAAAGTTCTAGGGCATGTGGAAAAAATGATTAACATAACTTTATTTTCTGGTATATGCCAAAACACACAGCTGTACATGATACACAGCATGTACTGATGAGAAGTATTAGGGTATGTCATTGGCTGCGGTGGAGGAGGAGGCGGTACAAACCGTGGCTGCCGATGCGCCCCTTGACGACGGTTGGTGAGGTAATTACTACTCAACTGATTATAATCTATTCTTCCTAGTTGAACTCTTTATGGAAAGTTAAGTTTGGCTTTGCTTCCTTTAAACCCAAGGGCTGCTTCATCATAGGCTAATGCGGCCGCCTCCGCCGTGTCAAAAGTCCCAAGCCACACTCTGGCTGCCTTCTGCGGGTCCTGTATCTCAGCGGCCCATTTTCCCCACGGTCTTTGCCTCACTCCTCTATAGTTTCTTCTCCTCACATTCCCTTCCAAATTGAATATATATGTAATATATCACTCAAACTTACGTCGCTTCTTCGAAAAGAGACTTGAATTGCATAATAATGAGAAAAGTTAAGACTGCAAGGAAAATAAATTATTCCTAAACTATTAAAAATTTAAATAAATTTTAAATACCCAAATTGGGTTGAAACAGAAGTTTAAAAGGAAATTTAATTGTAGCAAGTAAATTTAGTTAAAGTAAATAAAACTAAAAACAAAGAAAATTTACTGGCAATATGAAATAAAAATGAACAGAAATATAATAGAACATGAAATTAAATGTCGACATCATTTGATTTAATTAAAGGAAACTTGAAAAATCGAAAAGGAAAAGAAACAATCCAATTACAAAGAAATACTAATAAAAGCAATGAAACTCACCATTATAAATCCAACAAATGAAGAGTTGAATTACTAAACTAATTTAGGCTGAAGCGTAGAACTGAAATTAAATTAAAGAACTTGAAATTAAAATAAATCTGAGCATAAAGAGAAATTGTGTTGAATTTATTGTATGAGATGTCGATCCTTTGCTTAATCTCATAATCGGGTATTTATAACACCTTGGTAGCATAATGGAGATTTGCGGCAACATCATGAAAAACCAACGATAGTGTAATATCTATAACAAACTAATTAATTTGTTAGTACTGCGATTATCCTTTTGAAAACTCACAATAAGAGAACGGTTTTGCTGCCATTGTGAAAACAACCACTCAATCTTATTTGGGAAAATTTAGACCAATTTTTAACTAATAAAATATTTGTCAATATGAGTGACATGTGGTGGCAATCTATTTGTTATAAAATTAGGTGTAAACAGGTTTGAAGTTAACTTACTCGGTTTGAGAGTAATGGAAAAGAGGACGGCAATTGGCTAACATGAAGCATGAAATTTCCTTTATTTTATCCTTTTTGGGAATCAGAAAGTTCTAGGGCATGTAGAAAAAATGATTAACATAACTTTATTTTCTGGTATATGCCAAAACACACTGCTGTACCGTGAATTTACTGACAATGACCGAACATCCCATGCCATATTATTTTATTCATTAGGATGCTTAAACTGTCACAAGTAACATGCTTGTTGCTCCGAACATATTCTTGGACACATGACAATACAACCCATATGAAGTTGTAATCACGTGCACCACAAGAAAATTTCTAAATCATCAGCCTTTTAAAGCTTTTTAAACTACGATGATGATTCTTTTCAAAGAATATCATACATTGCAGAGATGGAGGAAGAAACAAAAATCAGAGAAGCGATGAAACCATCATATTATGATAATAACAGCAATATCCCTACAATATTTTGTGCAGCTCTTTGTAAAAAAAAACTTTGCTTGGTACTAAAGCTGCTTCCAGAGATACTTGATTCTATGAGAACAAATATTAACACCAATACCCAAAATTTTAATGGCTAATTTCAAGATGGTATTGGTTTTTACCTTCAAAATCTCTTTTTTGTATAACTAATAGCCATGGTTGTAACCCAGATTGCTTCGAAGGTGAAAGTTGTGATGACCATATACAGGGCCTCCATAATTCACAGGCTTTATGACTGCTTCTTGTTTTCCACCCTGCTCTTGAACTGCTCCAAAAACAATCTCATTGGTTTTCTCATGGCTCTGCTCATAGTAAGTGTGCGGGGTGGATGATTGATACCGATGATGATGCTGCTGCTGGACATTAGCATCCCATCCACTGTAGAAGGCCCGGCTCTGACGCAATTGATGAATCTTTTCTGCATCCTTGGACATGAAGGGGTATGTTTTCCGTGGCGTTGGGGTTCTGGTATCAATTGAAGGGGGTTCATCTTCTTCTGGTATGACAAAGCTTTCTTGCACAGGCCAGGTTGTTAAGGGCTTCTGTTGTTGCGGGTAATACCTTAGCTGCTTCTTCCTAAAACCAGGAAATATTCCCCCCAGAATTTCCATTGTGGACACCCCAGCATTGACAAAAAGCCTCCCAAGGGATCCAAAGAAGCCTTCTTCTTGCTTTTCCTGTTCATCTTCAGGAGGGATCAAAGGTGGCCTGACTGATTTGAGGGGCTTCTGATATGGACTTGACATGGCACTTGTTTTCACTGTGCTCTGAACCTTTGTGAGCATAAGAACAAAAGGTTAGAAAATGTTCCACTAAGATAAACTAAAAACTTGATTTCAAATTAAAGCACAAAGTGCCTTTTAAGTATTGAATGATATGAAAAACAAGTGGTGGATGGCATTTCATGAAGGTTTTTGCTGTTCCTCATCTCCTGAAGAGTTCGTCTCTAAAACCTCTTATGCCATAAAAGAAAGAGTAGGATTCAGGAAAATTTTTGTTTACTTTTCTATGTACGAAGCTCAGCTGAAGCAAAGGAAAACAAGAAAAGTTTCAAAGGAGAATCTTATGCTTAGGTGAAGATAACGTGACCAGTACTCATACATCAAAAGCAACGCAGAGATTGGGAAGTGCATCCAATAAGCTAGAGTAAATACTCACATTTTCGGAAGAAACAATAGTGCCCACTCTATGTTGCAGCAAGGCAAGCATATAACCAAAGAATGCAGCTGCAAAAAGCACTGCAATCCCTGCAACAATGGAAATATCATGTATAAATCTTAACACCATCAGAAACAGCTAATGAAGATAAAGTTTGGGTTGATTAGCTTTACCAAGAGGAAAACCACTGCCATATTGATAAGCACAGTCATCAAAATGAAGTTGAATCTCTCTAATAGCTCGGTTTCCTCTGTCTATGACAAGCAGGGAGCAACTACTTCCAATGTAAACCACATCAAAATCATTAGAGAACTTTGCATCTTCACTTGGTCCATCAACATATCCCCCTACCCTGCTCCATTTTCCACCAGCAATTGTTGTAACACCTGAAGGAAGATTTCAACCATATAAGCAAAAGATAACTACAATCATTCAACATTAGAAATTAGTAAATTGAGAAAATTGTGACATGAGTTTATTTAATTAATTGCAAAACTTTTCTAAGAAAAAGATGTATTTTAATTTATGACAAACAGAATATAAGGGTAAAATTTTGGATTCTTTTGGCCAACAGGGCCACATTTTGGTTAAGTTTGGTAAATATATAGCATGCAGCATGGGAATCAAAGGGAATGAGAAATTTATGCAGTTTGGACAAAACAAAAAGTGAACCAGAAACTTTTTCCCAGCTGACAGGACGCTAACAATGTTTACCTGCATCACTTATCTTCCTGATTGCCATATTGATGGTGTCTGCAACATAGATATTTCCTCTGTCATCTACAGCTAGCCCTTTTGGGTGGTTCATCCTCGCCTCTCTATGCTTCCCATCTACATGTCCAGAATATCCTTCTGGGGACCCAGCCACTAGCTTTGGCCTGCTATCTGCATTTCTTCCATGAATTAGTTTGCAATATATCATCATAGAAAACACATGTCCATGGACTGAAAAATATCTGATTAGAGTGGTCTTATGGAAACAAAATTTTATGAGTGAAAAGGATTGGCACTTTAAAGGAGTTACACAAAACGCAAGATGGAGAAATGAAACAATGCAGATTCTCATTTACTTAAAGCAGCTATCCACCACCAAGGGCTGGCCACATGAATGTCACTGAGCAAGAATGGTTCAAATTAAGGCTCACTTTATCCAGAGATGATCCACAAAAGTACTAAATTGAGTACACATTAATGTACAAATACAAGCAAATGCAACCCAAGTAAAGATCACAACATCATAAAGCCAACTTAATGAAAAAGGAAACTAATAAATGAGTAACAACACATGAAATATGGTGCAAAGAAATAAAACACCTTAACCACTAACAGGTGAGCGATTGGTAGAGGAAAAAGTCTAATAATAAAGGTCATAGTCAAAAATTAAATAAAAAATCCAGTCCAACAGAAGAAAACAAAACCAAGCAGTCAAGCCAAGCATAATTGCAGAAAACCCACTTACACAGAGATAAAGAGGCAGATATCCGGTAAATGTTACTATTGGCAGAGTCCAAGATCAGCAGCTCCCCATTAGGCAGCACCTCAACTGAGTATGGCTCAATCCCCAGCTTGCTTCCATCAAACACCGTCTCCACAGTATACCCACCCTCAAACTTCATCATCGGACGGCCAGGAATCGCTGCACACAAAAATCCCACGAATCACTACCTCTCACATTCCAATCTCCAAATAAAAGGAAAATTTGAAGTAATTAAAACCAAATGTTGGTACTGCAATTGAAGATCTGAACCTGTTTTCGTAGTGGTTTTGAGTGACCACAACCATTTCATGAGAGCAGACAGAGAATTGGAGAAAAACCCACTAACAATCTCTGCAAAAAAGAAACAAAGAAACACACCCAATTGCATTCATCACCAAAGCAAGATTCCAGCTCAAACCCAAGAACAGATCAAACAAAACCAGCTTCTAGGAAGCAAGCACAGCCACTTACTCGCAGGTGAAGTAGCACTGGGAGCTGAAGAGACACCTCCAAGAAGAAGCAAAAGTGCAAAACCCAAAAGCAGCACATTCTTACCCATTACTAGTGCTATCAAGAAAAAATGAAACAAAATCCCAAATATGCAAGATTCAAGCTTTACCCTCCACCAAAAACCCTAGTTCGTATCCGGGTTTTCTGCAAAAAGGAGAATGGGAGAAGAAGCAACAGAGTAAAGCAGCTTGCTTGCTTTTATGGGTTCTTTTTTTATTTCCACTGAAAATCAAAAAGAAATGTGTTTTGAAGAGAACCCAGAATGAGTCAGTGAGAGTGTGAAGCGTGGAAGGGAAAGGGAAAACCAGAAAGAAGAAAGAGACAAGAAAAGATGGGAAAAAAAGGGAGGGAGACAGTAGTGTGATGGTGAGAGGGAGAATCATGAGGATTGAGATATGATTTCTGTAAAATATGCAAAATTCTGTATTTTTATAGAAAAAATTTACTTGGCAAACCATCTTACATTCATTCCTTCCTCACCTGCATCCCTGGTCCATGTATGTTTTTTACACCTGGACCACTACATTGGTATATTGCTCTTACCAACAAAAATTTTGCTTCTTCCAGCATAAACTTTCCTCCATCCTTTATTAGGGGACAATTGTTTTCGTTAAAATACCAATTTGGTCCTTCAACTCTTAAATTTAATTAAAATTATCCTTAAACTTTAATTATTGATACCAAAATAGTCTTGAACTTTAAACACAAGCACCAAATTAATTCTTGAACTTTGAAGAGAAATACTAATTTAGTCTTTAAACTTTAATTACAAATACCAATTTCATATTTTAACTTTGATTGTAT